TTGCTCTCCAATGAGTTGCAAGAAGAGCTTCCTTCCTCTGCATGTGAATTTACCATAACAAGGTATCTGTAGGAGTGTATGTGTGCGTACGTGCCTCTGTGCATGCCTGCCTGCCTGTGCGCACGCATGCATGCATCCACTTGTATATATGCTATGTGTTTATTATTTAACACTAATCTACCAAACATTTTGATGGTAAACAAGGATATGTTTTATTTAGAAGGTAGTATGGACCCAAAGCAAGCACACACACACACACACACACACACACACACACACACACACACACACACACACACACACACACACACACACACACACACACATACACATACACACACAAACATACACACATACACACAAACATACATAAACATACACACAAACATACACACAAACATACACACAAACATACACACACACACATACACACATACACATACACACATACACACACACACACACACATATACACACACATACACACACATACACACACATACACACACACACACACATACACACACACACACACACATACACACACACACACACACACACACACACACACACACACACACACACACACACACACAGGTTATTTTTCTTTCTTATATTATAAATATTGATACTGTTATTATTCTTATTGATATTATGATCATTTGATCATTAGATTGTTATTAAAATATAAAATATATAAGATATTAATGACACAAAAAACAGTAAAATAATACAAAATGAAGCTTTCCAATAATCAAGGAAAAGGGTAAACAGGTGAGATAGGTAGGACTGATGACTCTCTCCTTGGTGACTATGCACTTGTAGAGCCATCCATGTGTAAAGACAATAGATGATCTTAGTTTACAGTAGGAGTGGTATGTATGCTTGCCATCTGTGCAGATTGGGTTAACAGCTATCAGAATATTCAATTTCATTTAGGCTATCTGGAAGTGGAGCTACCTGGTTAATATGTACCTTGTACACTTTCTTATTTTGGTATACAAATATATATATACACATCATGCTCGATGTGTATGTGTTCTGTTTCATATAATCATGCACTCTGGCCCTGCCAACAAATGGGATGCTCATCCTTCAGAGGTTAATGCCCTTCTCCACAGGGAGTGGTCAACTTGGAGCGTATGTTTGAGACGCCTGAGAGAATCTTCGTTGTGATGGAGAAACTGAAGGGCGACATGCTGGATATGATCCTGTCATCAGATCAGGGAAAGCTATCCGAGCGCATCACAAAGTTCCTAATCTATCAGGTAAGGTAGATGGGAACTTTTGTTTTATTTCTACATTTTTAGGAGGGAGGATGGATGCTTGTGCGTGCATTTTGGATATATGGAAGTGTAGATAAATATATAGTGTGACATACTTGTAGGTTTGGATTTATGGATTGAAGCTTTTATCAGTTATTGCTACAAACTTAGTAAAATGTGAATGAAAAACTGACAGTGCGTGTGTAATGTATCTTTTCTTATTTTTCTCAGATTTTGGCTGCTCTGAAACACCTCCATAGCAAGAACATTGTTCACTGTGATTTGAAGCCAGAGAATGTTCTCCTCTCCACAGACAGTGATTTCCCTCAGGTCAAGCTGTGTGATTTTGGATTTGCTCGTATCATTGGAGAAAAGTCCTTCAGAAGATCTGTGGTTGGAACGCCAGCATATTTAGGTATGTTAACATTAACCCAAATCTGATGCAATGCCATCATATTCAAGTATGTTAATGTTAATGTATGGGTCTATCTATAGTTCTGTTTGTATTCTTGCATAAATAAAGGGATTCACAGAGGTATATTAAAATGAACACTAGATCTTACACCATGCATGATTCAAATTCATAATTGATGATTACCCAAAAATAACTTTTCTTAAACATATTGTTTAAATGGCTTAGGGTCAACAGCACAAAATAATCAAATTAGCATTGTGTGCACATAAAAAGAGGAAAGTCAAACAAAAGGAACCAAAACCTGATGCTGGAGTCCTTGCAGCTCCTGAGGTCCTGCGCAACAAGGGTTACAACAGGTCCCTGGACATGTGGTCGGTTGGAGTGATTACGTACGTGTCTCTCTCGGGCACCTTCCCCTTCAACGAGGACGAGGACATCAATGACCAAATCCAGAATGCAGCTTTCATGTACCCACCAAACCCTTGGAAGGAAATCACACAAGACGGTGAGTTCCTCAGGCTTCTGAGCATTTGGAATTGTGTAGAAGAAGAGGGTGACAGGGAGAGGTAGAGGAGAAAAAAAGAGAAAGAGGAGGGGGGGGAGACAAAGGAGCACATTTCATATTATATTGGGATGACATAAGGAATTTTGCCCTGTGGAAACCTGTTCTCCTCTCTCTCTCTCTCTCTCTCTCTCTCTCTCTCTCTCTCTCTCTCTCTCTCTCTCTCTCTCTCTCTCTCTCCCTCTCTCTCCCCCCCTTCCCCTCCCCCTCCCCCTCTCTCCCTCTCTCTCCCCCCCCTTCCCCTCCCCCTCCCCCTCC